AAGATTTGCAGATGTCTACTTCACTTTTTAAAATTAGCATGAAAGGCCTTGCAAAAAATGTAAATTGTTGTAGAGTCTTAATGGTATATATTATCATTGCTTCCTTTCATGATGGGTAAATTTAATCACCAGTGAAACTACAGTCCTTGGTAGCTGTTCAGGAGGAGTTCTACGTAAGATGATTCTATGAGCTTTAATTTTGAAATAGCAGCCTAAATTCGCTTATACATGTTTGATTTTGAGCTGGAAGTCATATAACCAATAATTGGTTTTGAACTAGCAGTTTAAAAATATCTGCTATGTATGAAAGGATGCTCTTTTTTCAATAAATAAATAAATAAGTAAATAAATAAATAAAGTAACATTTTCCTGCAGAAGGATCCCTGCTTTACTGCTACTACTGATGCGATAACACTGTGCAGTACTGTCTTTAGAAAGTCCAGGACTGGTTCAAAACAGGCTGGTTTTGTATATGGCACAGTACAGCACCATCAGCACACCAGTGAATCCTAGAAATAATCTGGAATGGTAGCACACCTGTAGGATGAACCTAATTGGCTTCTCTTCCACCATCTAGCTCCAGATCCAGCTCTACACAGCACTACTCAGTATGGTGTAAACATAGTTTAAAAGCTTAATCTCACAGGTATTTTAATGTAAGTAGCTTTATTCACTTGACTAGCTCTGTTTAGAATTAGCCACATGTTTAAATAAGTATATGCACTTGGGGTGTACAAGTTAGAATTAAACTCCACAGGTTAAATTGCTTCTGTGGTTGGTGGTTAAGTGAAAGCTTGTGGCAGCACAGTAATTCTGCACTGGAAGTAAAAAACCAAAACAAACCAAAACCAAGAAAAACAGGTGGAGCCACAAAAAAAAAAAAAAAAAAAAAAAAAAAAAAAAAAAAAGGTAGGAAAAAAATGATCACTTTTAGCAAAGATTGAGATCATCAACGTTATATTGAGATATCCATAAAAGTGTAGTTAAAAATGAAATAGAAGTATTCTGCACCTCCGTTTTAAACCTAATCTGATTTTTAGTGCAACAGTTTTAGTCAGTGTATTTCTCAAAGAAACAGGTTTATTAGCATTAGAAAAACTATTAATAGCATTTTATTCCAAATCTATTTCATAAACACTAACAAATCCCTGAATTCTTTCTACATCAGAGACAACTCTTTGGAGTTCAAGGGCTGTTTGCTGAAACTTCAGGACAAATGTTAATGACAGGTGAGCAGAGCTTCTACTGTGGAAATAGGAAACGGTTGAAGAACAAAGCCAGGATAAACATGAATTCAGCCATTGTTTAGCTTAAACAAGACCATACAGAATAGCTGCAAATTTTACTGAGCAGATGTGACTTCCCTTTTGTAAACTCAGGATACCGCTTCCAGATTTTTAACTTTGCCTGTCAGTTCTCAATGTTACAGCTATTCTTATGATTGCTATGTATTTTTAGCAATTAACTTTCCTAAAACCTGTAAACTGAAATGAAAATGTTTTCCAGTCCTGCCTATTGAAACTTGCACACTGTACAGGAATAAGGGTAAGATTCATGAGGCCAGAAGGAGACCAAGGAAAGGAGCACACTTCTGTTCACAGGAATGAATTTAGTCTCTCCTGAAATTAACCACATTATTTGTAATCTAGCTCAAGATGAAAACTGATAGTTGACTGCTGAAGTAGGGTTTTTTTTTCCAAATAGGTCAGATCTTTCTCTACACCTGATTGGAAGGAAAATTGTTTGTTGGGATTGGAGTCACCCAGCTGGCCTCACTACATACACTGCTCTCTTTAAGCCTTTCTGTGGAAGATGAGTGAGTTTAGTACTCTCACTTGGCTTGTATTTTCAAAGTGTGTAATGGAGCAAGGTGCTGTACTTCCATGAGAAGTGAAGGCCTAACCCGCTCACACTTCTTCAGAAATACCCATTCTTCAGCCACTTGTGCATACCCATGGTTTTCCATATATAATGTCTTGGTGTAAAGAAAAGTGTAAATTTAAACATACTCAACAAGAATCATGTTAAGTGTTACATGCTACACTCAATCTCACGGTATGTTGTAACAGAGGTAACTCAGAGCTGTCTCACCTCATCTGCCTTCTGAAATGAAGGAGATTCAAATAGGTTTTTACCTAGTCTTCATAATGGGAAATCTGGAGTAAAACTAAATCTACAAAATCTCGTTATCTGGCTTTTCATTTGGGGTTACTTGTCAGTACAGTGGCAGAATTACATCACTTAAATGCGTTTAATTCTGAGAAGAGGAATTAGATCATTGAATCTGTAACCCTACTAGGATATCATGGGTGTCACTGCTGTTTGAGCTCACCAAATCCTACTGCTGTGGGTTTTTATGTGTAGTTTTGGAAGGTGAGGTCTTTTTTCTTATTATTTTACTAATGCTAAAATAGCCTGAGTTAATAATGTTACCAATGAAGTTTCTCAGTTCCAAAGGACTGGCACAACGTAGACTGAAAATAATACTTAGCTTGGGTATTTGTAGATATAGGTGTGTGTACATTAGACACTGCAACTTCAAACATTACCCCCAAGCTTACATGTTTCTCTTTTTACAGGAGTACAAATTTTGATATAGATGTACGGACAGCTTTTATCCCAAGGCTGTGCTACATCGTCCTAGTGGATGGATTTTTTCATGCTCCCTTTCAACATGCCTCAACTTGAATGCAGAGATACTTCCTCAGCCTAAGAGGATGCATCAAATTCACCTTCCCTTGGCTATTTTGCCAAGTTTGCAAACCCAAATTACAGTGTAGCACCAATTGTATTTGTTTTGTAGTATGTAAATGCTTGTGCCTCAGACACTGGGGTAGCCTTACTCACAAGTCTTGATCCTTGCTAATTTAGTAGGTGTGTAGTCAAAGGGTGCTACACAGATGAGGGATTTTTGTAATTCTCAGTTCTGAAAGCCTCCAGGTAAAGGGTGATCACTGCAATTGGGGGCAGAGAGCATGCAGAAAAGAGAAAATGCTGATCTGAGTCAAAACATGATAGGAAGACTCTTGGGACCATGATTCCTCAGACTTTTATTTCAAAACCAGTCAGGATCCTAGAGCCAAAGTCAAAAACCTGCTTGCTGTTTTCATTGGCATGATAAGGCTGAGACTGTCAGCCATGCAAAACTATAATTCTCATAAAATCCCATGCTTTTGGTTAAACTGCACAAGTGAACCATCCTGATTCAGAGTAGCTTTGCTTCTTGGCAAGGGCTGGGGAGGTGGGTGGACTCTAGTGACTTAACACCAGTGTCTACAACTTCATTTGCCCTCATGATGGCTACTGAGAGTTTTTCCTCAACCTCACAAGGAGCTAGGGCAAGCTCTTTAGACACACTTTGCATTCAAAGATGTGTGTTGATGCAGACATCTCCATAAACCTATGAAAGAGGTGAAAAATAGGAGGAAGCTCTTCCATTGCTTTTTAAAGTCTACCTTATATCACATAGACAAGGGTACTGAATTCAACAGTGATGCATTTTAAACAACTAGCCTGGGATACCTGTGTCTAATTTTGCTGCTTTGCTACAGGCCACCTGTGTGACCTTTGGACTTAACTGAATATTGTCCCTGTTTCCCTGTGGAAACAAGGCTCAAAGTACTCCACACTTCAAAGGCCTTTTTTTGAGAACAATTGCTTTACCGTTACAGTAAGAACAATCATAAAGTGTACAAGTCTGCATTTTTTCCACAATGTATAGAGTAGATAGCTACTGCCATACCAGTACAAGAAAATCAGTGTTGTAGCTTGTACTGTAACTCAGGTATGGGATGGAAATTTCTTGCCAATTTGTTAATAAATTAACATACGTTTTGCTGATCGAGTGTCCTGGTTCAGCTAGGATAGGGTTAAGTTTCCCCAGCAGGGAGGGGAAAAGGATCTCCTGCTGGGTTATTCATACCATGCTGATGTCAGGTCTGGCACGGCAGTGCGGGAAGCTTTCCTTTGTGGCTTTGGTCGCGGGGAGCATGTGGCGGGCTGTCTGTATCCATTGCAGTATTTCTCTGTATATCTTTTGTCTTGTTTACTGTTATTACTGTTTGTTGTTGTTATTATCGCTATTGTTGTTGTTCAGATTGTTTATTACACTGTTGTATTAAATTCTTTATATTTTAACCCGGGGTTTGTGCCCTACTTGTGTCTGAGGGTGGGGAGGGACAACGACAGTGTGGTCTCCGGTCCCGGCAGAGCTTAAAACCAACACAGCCTTTTTGGCGCACCAACGTGGGGCACAAGTGGGTTGAAATAAGAATCAAAAAGGGACAGACCCTTACCAGAGTGTGTTAGAGCAATCTGTTGGTGTAATTTTTCTGTTTGTATTTGTACTGTTTTATAAGAAAAGGTTTGTAATGTTGGACCACTTGCTTGCCTGGTAAGGCTGGATTATTCCTTATGTGTGTTCCCTGTGCAGGTGTTTGTTGTTGTTGGAAAATGTATAAAGGGGATTGTTTTGTCATACAGGCTACTAACTGCTTATAATATACTTGTATCGCTGTTGGTGGGAAAGGCCGGTACCTGTTTGCTGCCTGGGCTTTTGTTAAGTGTCTCACCCCCTCTATGGGCAAGCCAGGGGAAGAGATCCTCTTGGTTTTGGGAGTTTCAATTATCCTTGGAGCATGCAGGCCACTGTAATTGCGGCACAATACTTTCTGAATGCCTGACAGATATTATTTTGGGCCATGCGGCACTTCTCTAACAATAGCAGCATCTGGAAATGCCCCGAGGTCAGATAATAGTGAGTGGCAAGCTATGTGAGAAAAGAGGGGCAAAGGCCTGAGTTGGTGGTCGCCTCCAATGCTTGCAATTTCACTTCTGAACAAATGCAGAGCCCTGATAAGCTGGTGGAGTGCTTGGAAAGGGTGTGTTACCAATCTGGCAAAAGCCAGGACACACAATTCACTGTGATGTGTTGGGGACTTGCCCATGCTTACCGTGCCCTCTTTAATACCACCCACGGCCCTCAACGGGGAGAAAGGCCTGCAGGATCTGAGAATGAACTACTGGCCCAGCAGCTGGGCCAGAGAAACAGGCAGAGCCAATACCAGTCGCCTCCACCAACACAGCAGCTGAGCCAGAGAGACAGCCAGTACTGGTATCAGTCGCCCTGATACAGAAAACCAAATATACCAGAAAGTCAGTTCACAAAGTGGAGGATGGGGATGAGCCAGGCCCAGCACGGGAACAGTGGTGATCATCCGATCTCTATCCCCTAATGAGTTGCGAGATAGGTGGAGAGATTTCGGCTGCCTGGTGGCAAGCAGATTTGCACCTAGCTGCTTTGATGCTGGGACAATGGAGCTAGTGCTTTTGAAATGGAGGGGAGAGAGGCCAAGCAGCTGGGATCTTTGGCCAAGGAGGCTGGCATTGATAGGGAAATAGGGAAACAGACTCAAACCCTCAGCCTTTGGAAGTGACTCCTGATCAGTGTAAGGGAGAGGTACCCCTACAAGGGTGATATCCTGTATCAGCTAAGCAAATGGACCAACATTGAGAAGGGATTCAGAATCTTAAGGAACTAGCTGTGTTTGATAAGATCTAAATAATGAGCAGCCACCCATGGACCCAGATCAGGTTTCTTCACACACCTGATGTGGCAATGTTCCTGAAGAGTGCACCAGAAGCACACTTGAAAGCATTGGCAATAGTGTCCTGGTGGACAGACACCCACACTCTGACAGTGGATGGAGTGGTTGGCAGCTCCGGCAATATGAGAGAAATCTCCCTTCATGTCAACATTCCTGGGTCTCATCTGTGGAGGAACTGTCTCAGAGTGTCCAGAAAATGGAAGAGGACATGTCCTACATTCCACCTGCATGGGCTGATGTCTTAGCCATTAGAAGTAAAGGTTTCCCCACCCAAGAGAAAGGCAGCAGAAGGTACACGCCATGAGGCACCTGTGGTTTTTCCTCCTCGACCATGGAGAAAACATGAGGAGGTGGGATGGACAGCCCACTGCCGCCCTAGCTGCATGAGTAGAGCAGCTGAAATGGAAGACCATCACAAAAGGGGAGTCCTCCTAGAAAAGTGCAGCTCCAGTGTCCAGTCGGAAATCCCCCAGGCAGGATAGAAAGGCCAACGTTATGTCTGACACTCTGAAGGGACCAGTAAATCATTCTTACAGGAAGTGAGTGATGATGATCAGGATTAGAGGGGCCCTGCCTCCAGCCAGCTGGAGGAAAGGAATAATTGGATTACTGGACAGTGTGGATCTCATAGATCTCACATCAGACCCACAAGAATATAAGTCTTTGGTGGAGACTGGCGCACAGTGCACCCTGATGCCATCAAGCTACAGTGGGGTTGAATCCATTTGCATCTCTGGAGTGACAGGGGGATCCCAACAGCTGACCCTATTCGGTGCTGAAGTGAGCCTGACTGGGAAGGACTAGCATAAGCACCCCACTGAGACTGGCCCAGATGCCCCGTGCATCCTGGGCATAGACTATCTCAGGAGAGGGTACTTCAAAGACCCAAAAGGGTACTGGTGGGCTTGGTGTAGCTGCCCTGGAGGTCGTTGAACAGTTGTCCACAATGCCCGGCCTCTCAGAGGACACCTCAGTGGTGTAGCGGCTTAAGGTTGAGGAGCAGCAGTGCTGATTGCTACCAGGATGGTGCACCGGTGGTAGTACTGAAGCATACTTTATTCCCTGGTCCCCATCCATCAGCAGATGTGTCAACTAGAAAGCCAAGGTGATCAGCAAAACTCACTCACCCTTTAACAGCCCTATATGGCCAGTGAGAAATCCTAATGGCGAATGCAGGCTAACTGTGGACTACCGTGGCCTGATGAAGTTGCGCCAGCAATGAGTGCTGCAGTGCCAGACATACTAGAGCTCCAGTATTAACTGCAGTCGAAGGCAGCGAAGTGGTATACCGCAATTGACATGCTAATGGGTTCTTCTCTGTTCTGATAGCGCCAGAGTGCAGGCCACAGTTTCTGTTCACTTGGAGAGGCATCCAGTACACCTGGAATTGATTGCCCCAGGCTGGAACCACAGCTCCACCATTTGCCATGGACTGGTCCATACTGCACTGGAGAAAGGTGGGGCTCCAGAACACCTGCAGTATATTGATGACATCATTGTATGGGGGGACACAGCTGAGGGAGTCTTTGAGAAAGGGAAGAAGATAATTGAAATCCTCCTGAAGGCTGGCTTTGCCATTAAGCAAAAGAAAGTCAAGGGACCTGCAAGGGAAATTCAATTCCTAGGAATAAAAGGCAAGATGGGTGTAGTGACATCCCAATGGAGGTAATAAACAAGATAAAAGCCGTGGCCACATCAAGCTCTAAAAAGGAGATTCAGTCTTTCCTGGGTACTATGGGGTTCTGGAGGATGCACATCCTGAACTAGAGCCTGAGTGTGAGCCCTCTCTACCATGTAACAAAAAGAAGAACGATTTTGTATGGGGCCCTGAGCAACAACAATCCTTTGAACAAATTAAGTGGGAGATTGCCCAAGCAGTATCCCTCGGGCCAGTCCGGCAGGGCAGGAGGTTAAGAACATGTCTACACTGCAGCCGGAGAGAATGGCCCTACCTGGAGACTGTCACAGAGCACCTGGGGAGAACCGAGGCCGACCTCTAGCCATTTGGAGCTGGGGATACAAAGGCTCTGAAGCTAATTACATGCCAACTGTGAAGGAGATACTGGCAGCGTATGAAGGCATTTGGCCTCCTCAGAAGTGGTTGGCACTGAAACACAGCTCCTCTTGGCACCCCAACTTCCGGTGTTGGGGTGGATGTTAAAAGGAAAAGCTTCCTCCACGCATCATGCAACAGATGCCACGTGGAGTAAATGGGTTGCATTGATAACACAACGGGCTCGAATAGGGAATCCCAGACACCCAGGGATACTAGACGTGATTACGATCTGGCCGGAGACATAGATTCCGGGATGCTACCAGAGCAGGAGGTGACACATGCTAAGGAGGCCCCACCATATAACGAGCTGCCAGATGAGGAGAAGCGATATGCCATGTTCACCGATGGGTCTTGTCGTATTGTGGGAAAACATCGACAATGGAAGGCTGCTGTATGGAGTCCCACACGACGGGTCACTGAAGCTGCTGAGGGAAATGGTTGCAACAATGGAAGCAGAACAACTGGCAACGTAAGGGTAAAACCGTATAGGCTGCTGAAGTATGGAGAACACTGCAGCCCGTGTGGAAAACCTTGTTGTGAAGGTGCGCCATGTGGATGCCCATGTACCCAAGAGTCGGGCCACTGATTAACATCGACACAACCAGCAGGCAGATAAACATGCTAAAATCAGAGTTAAACAGTTGGACTTGGACTGGCAGCACAAAGGTGAACTGTTCATAGACCGGTGGGCCCATAAGACGTCGGGCCAACAAGGTAGAGATTGAACATACAGGTGGGCTCGAGATCGATGTGTGGACCTCACTATTGAAACTTTTGCAGAGATCATCCAAGGATGTCAGACGTGCTGCAAACATGCCAACCGGGTGAAGCCCCAGCAAAATGGAGAGAGATGGCTGAAATATAGGTATGGAGAGGCCTAGCAGATCAACTAAATCACAATGAAACAGATCCACCACAGGAAGCACCATATGCTCATAATAGAGGAAGTAACCACTGGATAGATGGAAGCTTACCCAACACCCCATGCCAACGCCCGAAACACTATACTGGGCCTTGAGACCCAAGTCCTGTGGTGATACGGCACCCCAAAGAGAAATGAGTCACGCAACGCGACCCACTTCTGAAACAACCTCATAAATGCTGGGCAGAAGAACAGCCGAAAACGCCCACCAAGCTGCATTCTGAGAATAAGCAAGAACGGAGGACGAGAATCGCTGTTGCCCTGCATAGCGTTCCGGGCAGCGGTTACAACCAGCAAGAGAATTCCCGGCTAACAG